TTGCTTTTTCATTTGAAATTTGGCCGTCACTGTGCGTTCGCGAAAGCGAAAATGCAAACGCTAATGCAGGATTTGCAATTGCACTTGGATTATGTCACAATTTATGCGTCCACATATTGAAAACGCAATTGAAAATACAATTTGCTATTCTATTTGAAAATTGTCCGGAATATCGTTCCATAAGCTTGGCTTGTAGAGTGGAGTTACAATCATAGACTGGAGTACAATAGAGTGGGGGAACTATGACGTCACTTGTAGGCGGATCGGCTGTTAGCATCGCCCTGGTTCCCTCGCCAAAAAGCCAATAGGATTTTTCCATAGGCTTTTGGATTATCGCAAAAAATAAGGTCAGTGTTAAATCATACTTCATGAAATTTACACGTTTTGTCCATCAAGATAATCTTCAATAAAGCCTCAATAAAAGCGCCAGAATTTAAAAATTCAATTTAAGCCCTATTTGCACGGGATTAGTATTACCTGGTGATAATATTAGTCCCGTGCGAATCAGCATCTCTCTAATTTAGATTGGATTTGGCAGGGTCGTATATAATTTTTTTTCAAGATTTGTTTCCTGTGCATCTTTTTATCCATCTTTCGTGAAGAATGGAGGCTGCAGTATTTTGGGTGCTGGGTCATATTGCTATACAGGGGCGGTTCTAGGACTTCATCCACAGGGGGGCTGAGCCCTCAGAGAGACCACTATATACAAAGATAAAAAAATACCTAAATTAATTGAAGTAAATGTACACAAATATCCATTAAAGCTACAGAAGTTACTTAAAGAGCAGGTCATATGGTATTTTAAAGTGTCCTAATCAGTGATGGGCAGTAACGCATTACTTAGTAACTGTACTGTAATTTGATTACTTTTTTAGTAACGGAGTAATTTAACGCGTAATTTTCAAAATAGTAATTAAGAGTATAGTTACAAGCCGAGGTCTCTGTACGTTACTGCCGCGTTACATTGCATACATAATGCAGTGTTTTATAATCTAGATATTGTAAAAAAGGATGTAGCACACGCACTGTCGAGTCAAGTGCCAGTGGATTAGAGACCTGCTCCCGCGAGACCCGACGCAACAGAGCGCGGTGCGGGACAAGATGTGTGTGTGTGTGTATGTGCGCGGGATGTGGGAGATTAAAATGATTCACGGGACTCCCGCAAAACAGAAATATCTAAACATAAAATATCTAAAACAAATACATTTTTATTCATCTATTGCACAAAAGTACGGAGCCCCTAAAGGGACATGGTGGTGGAAAAATTTCGGGGTAGGTGGAAAAAATATTTTTTAAATCTTTTGCGTTCCCCTGAGAAACTTTGCGTTCTCTCGCAAAGATATTTCCATTCTCTCGCAAACTTTTTGCGTTCTCTCGCAAAGATATTTGCGTTCTCTCGCAAAACTTCTCTCGCGAGAACACAAGTTTCGCGTGAGTTCTCTGCGTGGTGCTTCGCGCTTTTGTTGGTATAGCATCACTTGAGTGATCTTGGATGTACGCAGCTGCATTAGAGAAAGGTTGTCAGTCTTTCGCGTTAAGTTATCATATATTAAAGTCGTTTTTTATTATTTAAGTAGAAGAATAAACCAAACCTGCACGTGATTACAATAAAATAATTATTAATAATAATTGTGTAGCTCTGTGATGGAGGACGATCTGCAGGAGTTTTTAAGGTCACGACCCAGCAAGCAATTTTGCATTTAAAAGACATCTATTAGTCGTCTAAACACAGCCCAGACGTCTAGGCTAAAACAAGGCTAATTTGGGCTGTCAGTGAAAATGTAATAGACGTCTAATCATAGCCCAAGGATAGACTATAGTCATCAATTAGACCGCTATTAAATGACTACATACTGTATATACATCTAATAGACAGTGAATATGGGTCTAGGCTAAAACAAGGCTGAATTTGGGCTGTCAGTGAAAATTTAATAGACGTCTAATCATAGCCCAAGAATAGACTAGTCATCAAGACCACTATTAAACGACTACATCAGAGCATGTGAGCTCCGCTACGTTTTCCACTCTATGGACGTGCGCTCCGCTCAGTCGCTCTAACCGCCCAATCAAGCGCTCCGTTAATATTCCGCTCACGCTCACCGTGAACCAGTTCCCGCTCAGATCCCGCTCCGACATAACATTTCTCTAGTAGGCCTAATTGTTTACTATTTTTAACGAAATTCTTGGATAATTGTCTAAAATTAAGCATGCTGATAAATAGCAATTATCATGTTTCAGAGTGAAATTCTTTCATTCTTCTTAATTTTATTAATTGTAATGTATTAATTCAAATGTATTAAATATATGAATCTAACCTTAGCAAACCTACCTAAAATGCAAAAACTGAAAAAAAAACTTTATTTCCGTGAAAATATCTGCCGTTGTTGTGCAATAGAACATTCAAAACAGGCTCATTAAAACACAAACGCACACACACACGAGATGAAATGCACTTAAAGAACGCTTGGATTATGAACTGACGTCAATGAAAGAAACACACTTTCTAGTGTCAAGTTAAAATCGACCATAACTGTGGGGAACTGTGGTCTATTAAAACGTCTCTTGATGTTTACTGGATTTTAGAATTTACTTTAAGAAACATTAGCTTGGACAAAGTGTCAGGCTTCAGCATTCGGTGTGCCCGAAAATTATTTTAATAAGTAATTACGAAATATAATAATTCGTTCCACGATTTAGGCCTACTAAAACTATGGAACGAACGAATGAATTCGTGGCAGCTAAGCCTATACAAGAGAACGAATACTTAATTCGTGGCCATAATTTAGACTAAACGAAAAAATTTATTCTTAATTTGTGGCCATAATGTAATCCTAGCATAAAAGAGAACTAGCCTATTCTAAATTCGTGGCCGTGATTTTGTCTGCATGTCATGATCGGGGCTCCGTACAACCGAATACCTTGGCCTACCTGTTTATTCATTTATTATGGTATGTAACTAGCTCAGCTTTTGCTGCACCATGTTTGCGTAGCACATCCTCGTGCTTTCTGGCAATGTGCCGCTTCAGATTCCAATATGAATCTTTACTAACTTTAACAGTCTCCCCGCACTCCCTCTCAGTTTCCCTGCTCATTCTTAACTTTGATTTTTTTACTTTACATTTATGTATAAGGCTTGCAACTTCGTTGAAACAATATCTGAACTCCATAACTGCTCTACTATTCTCGATCTCGACAGATTCTCGAGATCACCAAACGGCATTCTGGGTTGAGCGCTCACGCTCCGCTCCGCTTCCCTCACATGCTCTGGAGTACATATATACATCTAATAGGCAACAAAATGGCAATTCATCCAAACAAATTAAATATACAGCTTTTATTAAGAAAAATTACTTTTTTTAAAAAAAATTGGACAACTTAAGACAATACAAAATGATAAAAATACAAAAGAATGAATGACAAAATAACATTTTATAAATACAATACACTTAAATATAAATATTATGTTAAAAAAATCTGGAGTTTTTAACATCTTAAGATAATAAAAATATAAAAATGAAAAAATTTAAATATTTTAAATAACTTCTAAAAAAATCTAATACAAATCAAGAGCATGTTATCACACTTAACATTAAAACATAAATGACGACATAAAAAAAAGATGAATCCTTTTGTTGGTTTACTTATTTTAACAAATAAAACAACCAACTGTGAACTTAAAGGATATGATTAATTATTGGTTTTATTTCTTGTTTAAAATGCTTCCCAACTGCATTCCTCAAGTCCAACTCTGTTGCTGCTGGGAGGTTGGTCATCACAGCATCTGCCAAATAAGAAAGAAAGAAAAAAAAAAGCACAAGAAAAGCTTGACATAATTTTTTTACTTCAATTACACTAATTGTGACAGGGAGTCATTCTCTTTTACTTGGATGTCTACTAAAAACGAGATATATATATACAGGTGCATCTCAATAAATTAGAATGTCATGGAAAAGTTCATTTATTTCAGTAATTCAACTCAAATTGTGAAACTCGTGTATTAAATAAATTCAATGCACACAGACTGAAGTAGTTTAAGTCTTTGGTTCTTTTAATTGTGATGATTTTGGCTCACATTTAACAAAAACCCACCAATTCACTATCTCAACAAATTAGAATATGGTGTATTTGCACTTATTATTTGTATTCTTAAGCTTTACTATCAATTTGGAACTTTCAAAATAAATCTTATTATAACGTTACTTGTACAATGACAAAGATATTCTATTCAATTAGCTCATGCTCTCTCTGTATCTAACAAGCCATTGTTCAGTCATAAATTCAGTATAATAATTAAAATAAATTATGGCCTTTGTCAAAGATGAGAGCTTTAGTGAGGAAATGTTGTTTTGGAGAATTTTTATTTTTTATTTTTTTTTTTTACCATTGCTACCCGGATCTTTTCAATTTCCAACCGCTTTTCCAGATGTTGAAACTCCTCCTCAGTTTCTCCAATTCTTCTGAGTGTGTTCACTGTATAAATTAATATGGATTAATCTTTGTCAAAGCTGTGTTTGTTCTGTTGTTTGCTCTTTCGCCTCTTCTTGCGCTGTTTTAAAATCGATTGAGTTTGTAAACGCGTACAAATGATAAAACTTTTACTCCATTAAATTTTGCAATTAATCCTCTGAACACATGCGTGCTGAACCATGGGCCTAGTCACGGATCACTATCAACTACGATCTGCTCCCTTCACTAAAATGTGACGGTTCATAAACATGATAACAAATAATATAGATAAATAATGAATACGTCAAAACGAAAACACAGATACTTACAAGACCAAGTAGGAATGTCCTTTATCGTTTGTTGTTTGCACGCTGCTCTCCGACAGGTTAACTTCGTGCTCTCTCGTGTAAAAACAAAATTCAAAACACAACACTCTAACTCTCATGTCTCGCGTTGCCAGTAGTCGTGTCTCAGTAGGGCTACAATTACCATTTAGCGGTTGGGAATTGTAATTGCGTTTTTATTTATAAAATGAAAGACAGCCAAATATCAATAATATCATATAATGTGTATGAATGTAACATTTAACAGCTTGTGGGATGCATGACATCATATTATCAAATGCAAGTAAACTTTTGAAACATTTAAATTCGCATTATTTTTGGCATAATAAATAATGCTATATTTAATAATGCTGTAAAATAATAAAATAAAAGAATGCTAATTTAAATGTTTCAAAAGTTTACATGTAAACAATTTTAAGGCTATTTTGGCCATGCTCATCGCTGGTCTGGTTACTGGTATATGGTTATAGCCAAGCCGTTAAAATTAGACCACAGATTGCCTCGATTTCGCCAGGTGGGCAAAAAGCAGACTACTCGTAGCCCGTCCAATTTACAGCTAAATCGTGGCTACATATAGACCATGTCATGAAATGACACTTATATCTTTGTAGATATTATTGACACTGCGAACATGATGGGATATCAACCATCTCATGCGCTGCCTGGCCGAAAACTACAGTGAGTCAGGTTTGACTATAAGTCGGCTACAGATAGCCGCTCTGACTACGAGCTAAATCGTGGCTACGCACAGGCTAAGTATTGAACATGTCAAAGAAATGAAGAAACACCTTGTAAACACTGTTACTTTGCTTACATGATGGAATATCATACATTTCACAAGTTATTTTGCCAAAAAAACGACATGAAACCAAATTCAAGGTTATCTGGGCTAGTAGTGGGTTACACATAGCCGGAATATAGCGGGTCTATACTTAACCGAGACGTTGAAATGACGGCTATTGCTTGCTGGGGAGATGTTCCAGAAGAGGACATCATCCTCATGAAAAGGGACAAGGTGGGTAATGTTTCATTAAAGGCCAATGGACCTATATTTAGCTAATATGTAAATTATAGCTATTTTTAATGATCCAACCTAAGGTGTTGACGTATATCCCCATATGTGTAAAGTTAAACATTTAATATCCTATCCATAAAAAAGGGCCACATATAGGCCTAGGCTATGTTTTAATTATTGCTAGCCAGGGCAACCAGAGGCTGTCAGTATATTGCCAATGACAGTTCTCCATATGCCAAGTGTCATGTAGAATCAGAAATGACGTACCTTCGATAGTTACCTGGTTCACTAGTAATAAAAGTTATCTTATCAAGGAGTGTATAAGTGTGCAAAAATAAGAGATCATTTACATTTCTAAAACTGAGCACTGTAAAATAGCCTAATATAGCTATTTTACTTAACAGAAGATACTTACATCTATTCTACAATAGCATAAATGAAAACTGAACAAAAATGTGCATCCCCCTGGTTGTTTTTATAATGTTTGGCTTCCTGGATTATCATTGATCATTGACTGTATTTTTTGTGTGCTGTTCATGAGTTCCTGCTTTGTCCTGAGACATAAAAGTGCTCACTGTTGTTAAGCAAAATCCTTGAGCTACTGCACGTTCTTTGGTTTCCCAGCATTTTCTGCACTTTTTAGTTGTGTCCTACATTGCCTATATGATGCTGAGAACCTGCTTTTTCACTAAGGGCAGTTTAAGGGACTCCTACAGAACTATTACAAACAGTACACATATCCATTGATATTCAAGAATTCAACATACTAAAGCCCAGATAATGTACTCTTTTGATCAAGTTATGATCTGTGTAAACTGCAATGAATGATGTGTTTAAATATAGAATAAAACCTTTTTTTCTCATATAAATTACACGGACCATATACTGATGAAAAGTTTACGATAGTTTAATATAGTGTGTTGCCTTCTTGAGCATCACTGAGTCCTTTAAATTAAATTGTGAAAAGCTGGATTCCAAGCACTGTATGGAAGACTCACACACAACTGTTAATTTACATTTATTCATAGCAAAAACTTTTACCCAAACTAACTTACAAAATGAGACCCATTCAAGTAATTTGTCATAAGAGATGTTTCAATATCTGAATGTCACAACTCCAAGTTTGATTATCAGTTAAATTAGTATATATAGAGCATAATTAAAAATGAGAAGGAACAAGAGGGTTTTTTAATTGAAAATAAGTGCATTTGCAAGCAACTGCAGGTAACTCGTGTGCAGGCACAAGTAGGGGTGTGACGTGCAACTATCACAGAACATATAAACCGTTATTAATCATCATCAAGCAGGCACCATATCAAAATAATCAAGAGGATATAATCTTTTAAACCCCTTCATTGGTATAATTCTTTTTTTTAAAGTTCATATTAATTATGAGGTATTGCATGTGGAATAGATGTAAATATGTGCTATGTGAAAGAGCTTCATCAGGGCAGTACTAAACGTAATTGAATTTGGGGGGGTTGGGGGTGCCAACATTTTCACTCAACTGTAATTACCAGTAGCTACTAGCTAGCTTGTTAGATTATTTATACTCTCAAAGTTCATATGCTGAACTCCATTGTAAAATCAGCATGGCATGTAGATGAATAGATGTGACTTTCACTGTTAATTTTTCTATGTAAATGTTGTTACATGTTTAAAAAAATACATGTTAATAAACAGAGACTTTTAATTAATGTATTATGAATTCATGGGTGCATTTATGTTCTTTCAAAAACTAATCTATAAAATAAAATTTTCACTGCATTTTCAGATTGACAAGTCTGTGCTCTCTGTTATGACTGATGAGCAAATGGCAAAGTATATTAGTTCATATGGTGACCGACTGGCTGACATCTCCTTCTGTCAACAAACAGCTGCCTGCTCTGATAAAGAATCTCTGTTACAAAATTTGAGAGCTAAAATTGAAGCAAGGAAACTGGGATCCAAGTCCGCTAAAGCTTTGCATGGAAAAGCATGGTTCTTCCCTAAGGAAAATAATTGAATGGCAAGATACAAAAATGTATCTGCAGAAAGAACCTCCAGGAGAATTGAAATTGGATGGCTTCACTTCGGCCGTAATGGATACCAACAAGTGAGGACCAATAATCGTGGTAGCACTAGGCATTTGACAGTTCAAAAAAAGACAGCTGTTTTACAAATAATGGAAATGGTAAATAACCTTTTTTCCCCAAATGGAGTCACCAAAAGGTCCAGAAACAGACTTCACTTTTCATGTTTGTGATTTTAAAAGAAACCACATTCTCATAATAATTGAATGGCAAGATACAAAAATGTATCTGCAGAAAGAACCTCCAGGAGAATTGAAATTGGATGGCTTCACTTCGGCCGTAATGGATACCAACAAGTGAGGACCAATAATCGTGGTAGCACTAGGCATTTGACAGTTCAAAAAAAGACAACTGTTTTACAAATAATGGAAATGGTAAATAATCTTTTTTTCCCCAAATGGAGTCACCAAAAGGTCCAGAAACAGACTTCACTTTTCATGTTTGTGATTTTAAAAGAAACCACATTCTCATGGACAGCACTGTTGGAGATCTGTATGAACTAACCCAACTGAAATTGTTGAGATTTTACATTTGCACTAAACAAGAGGTGTGCCTCAGTTGTAGAATCTTTATCTGATGGTGATAAAGAAGAATGTAATAAAAACTCATTACTACAAGATGTATTAGTCAGTGATACTGAGAGACCTGCTGCAAAAGTGTCATCGCATGGACATGACGGTGATCTTGAGGATACAAGCACACATTTATTGGATGACAGACTTTCATCTAACAAAGACACCAAGAGGAAGGTTAGTAAAATCATGAAGACTCTGACTTGAATTTATTTGAATATATTTTGGGCTTCATTTGTAAATACAGTCACAGAAGAGTTGTTCAATATCATTTAGGGCTAAAACGATTAGTCACCATTATCCACAACATTGACAACAATAACAATTATGTTATGGTTTACTGTTAGCAAACTTCCCAGTGTTGCTGTGTGCTTTTGTTGCAATGACAAAATAAACACACTACAAAAATGTCAGTGGTGAGAAAACATCTGATCATAGCGATTTTGATATGTTTGCACCAGCTCTGCAATCTGAAATCCAGTTAAGTAAAGTCATTTATTTATATGATACTTTATGCAATACATTGCTTTAAAGCAAGCAGTTGTAGCGAATCAGCTCACGGGGAAATATGGAAATTAACGTTCTTAGAATTGACAAGACAGTTGACCCTGAGAGGCCAGCTAAATATCTACAGCGGATCTAAAATATGAATAGTTAATTATAACTAGTTATGGTTAGTTATTAATATTTCACATGAGCTGATTCGTTACAGTAACATCACTTTCACTGTCACTTATATTGAATGTTTTTCAGAGACAAGTAAGGACAGAAGCCCAGAGTACAAGAGGAATTGAAGATGTTCCTCAGAGTGGTTTTACCTTCGAGACACCCAGCACATCACACAACTCTCTTTCACCACCCAGAGATATCCAAAGAACACACACCATCCAAAGAGTCGCAAGCAGCTCAAGTGACGAGGAGACTGATGAATCGTGGAGACAATGTGCACAGCTATCGAAAAGTCCACAGCATTCACATGAGCACTTTGATTTTCAGAGAAGCTATGAATTCATTGACTTGACCAATCAGATTCCTCCGCTACACAACAGCATAGTTCAGAATCTTGGAGATGATGATGATGATGATAAAGAAGACAGTTGAATGGAACGAAGGAGAAGAACTTGAACAAACAGATGAGGACCAAGAAGTTAAAATAACATGGAATGAGAACACCATACAGGTAATGTGATCCTGATGGACCAAATGTCACAGTGTAGATTTGAAAATTGAATATTCAAACTACAAGCATTAAATGGAAATTATAAATCACCTTAAAACTACAATGTACATCCTAATTACAATAGAAATTATCTTCAGGGGGCTTTAAAGGTCACAATACATCCAATGTCCCATGCTTTGTGCTTCTTACTCACCACTAGGCAACTGTTACATTGTCAAGTGACGCTACATTTTTCTTTTTACGTTTTTTTGTTACAATGTGTTTCACTTTCATTTTCTGCATATTTATTGATCCTCCAGAATGCAGAGTTGAATGAAGCTGAAAATTAGGTGCCATCACCACCCTCAAGTAATAGCAATCCTGCACTGCTGGTAAGAGAGCCAAAATATGTTTTGCATGTGGAAGTCCTTTAGATCATAAATGATCAGTCCTAATATACCTGCACGGTCAATTTAAAATACTTTTGTGTAAGATTTGGCTTTGTTTGTATACAAAGAAGATTAAGGAAGGGACAAAGTCTGTATAGATCATATACATAATACATAAGAACAAACCTTTGAAACTTGAAACATGAATTTATAATTAACAAAGTTCTTCATTGAGGCCCTAAATTAATCTAAGTAATCAGAGAATCAAGCTTCTTCTAATACCTATAAGTAGGCAATTATGATATTTATGAACAAGACTAAAATCACATAGCACGAGACTGAAGTTCCATGTAAGTTTTATAGGAACAGTTCTAAATGAAAATTCTGTTGCTCATGTCATCCCAAACCTGTATGACTTTCTTCTTCTGTGGAATCCAAATGGGGAGCTTGTCAAATTTTTTTTTTTTCATGCAGTTACAAAGATTGGGGACTAGACTGTGTCAGGAAAATATATCTTAAATCAATTTGAACAGAAACTACATAAAAACATTGTCATTAACAGAAAAAAACAATAAAGTAACACAATTGGAAAATCTGGAACTAAACTTAAGTATTCAAAATCTAACTAAAGTAAATTATCAAATAGTTAATTACAGTTATATATATATATATATATATATATATATATATAAATAACATTATTATTATTATTATTATTGCTTTGCAACTTTAACTTAATTACACAGTGCCATTTTACAGTGACACTAAAGAAAAGCTTGTTTAGAACAATATGAGGTTGGGAAAACTATTATTTAACTGATTATTAGAAAATAAAAAAATCTCGGAATAATTGTTATAAATTGTTTTTACCTTGCCTTTTCTAGATATGTAGTGAAATGCCTTCATCACCAGAAAATTTGCCATCCCATTCAGGAAACCATCTTTCTCTTATAACTTCATCTGGAAACTCAGAAAATGCAACATTTGTGCATGCTTTAATACACAGGGTAAAGGTTGTAGAAGATCTTTTGGCTGTGTTCATGGATAGCAGCATAATTCAATCTACTCTGAAGATGGAATTTGTAAATGAGAAAGCTGTAGATGATGCTGGAGTGTCCAGACAAATTTACACTGCATTCTGGGATCAGTTCCTTGAACAGTGCAAAGGGGGAGATTACTTGACCTTGGTGTGCTGCCAGTAAGGCTTTCCAGTGCTTTCATTTTAGCACGTATGTATGGAATTGACTCAGTCAATGATGATGTCTTGATGTCATCTTTCCACAACTACCTCTCTTTGACTGAATGAACTGCCGTTGCAAAGGCTTGTCAAGGCACACTGGAGGAATGTGATGAAGATGATTTGCTTGACCTATTCACAAGAATGGGCTCCCATTGCATCCCTCCAAAAAACACCATGAAAGTTGCTATCCAAACAATGGCTCAGAAAGCAATTATTCAAGAGCCCAAATATGTAATAGATTGTTTCTCCCAGAGCCATGCCATTTGCACTGCTGAAAGTACTAGACCAGGAAAGTCTGTCTCTGTATGACACAAAGAAGTCCACTGGCAAAAAAGTGGCACAGCTACTTCAAACAACACAGGCGATTCGCTCTCAGAAAGAACAGATGGTATTCAATCATTTCTGCAACGTTAACTCAGAAATGCTGACCAAAGTAAAATTTCTATGGTTCTGCACTGGTTCTTCTGTTATATGTGTTGATCAAATCAAGGTAAGCTTCGATGCAGAATCTGGCCTCAGCAGAAGACCAGTAGCTCATACCTGTGGAGCTACTCTTGATTTATCTTATACGTACAGTTCTTACCCAGACCTCCGCACAGAGTATGACAACATTCTCTGTAGTGATTACTTGGAAATGGACATCCTGTGAATTTGATGCTGCTCAGGAATAGTTCATAGTCATCAAAGTCACTTTTCTGGAACTTGATTGTCTGTAGTTATGAACTTGTTGGTAACAATCTGTGTGAAGGTATTTTATGAACCTTGTGAAAAAGAACAGCATGCTACAAACAGCAACAGTTTTTGGATTCATTTAAATGGCCCCTGTATTATTACTTTGATTTACATTTGACTGGCATAACATTAATTTACTATTCAAATAGCTGTAGAGTTTTCCAGCAAGTGGTCAAGTTTGTTCACTTTGAAAGCATATCATCAGTGCTGTTAGTACTGTTTAATTGTTATTTGATTGTCGTCTTGTGTGTGGAAATTACACTGAATCGTTAACTTTTTTGTTAATTACATACAATTTAACCATATAATATGTGGTCAGGTTTGTTTGGATTTAAAATCCTTTAGCCATTAATATTGCTAAATTATTATTTGATTCTTATGTCAATTCAGTCTTATATGCATTTTGTTTACAGTGGAAAAAAAGCGAGTTTAATGTTTTAAAATATGGATTAATTATAGTTAGGCTATTCAAACTTTTTGAATTGAAATTGTAATTTTAGCAAACATTCTGATTTCCATTCTATGCAGTACAATTTTGGTTGTTAGTAAGGGAAGTTCTTTGAATCTTTAACCTTTTTTTATTTCATAAAGTTTAAATGGGGAGATTACATGTTGATACAGGTTGAAATTTGGAAATTAACATTTCCTCGGTAGCCTTTCTTTCCAGTTATAAACAACTTTGTAAACCATAAACAATTTTGCAAAAGTGTTTTCATTTTTAATGACTTCTATGTGTCAAGATTGTAGTTCACAGCTTGTTATGGGTCTCTTGGAATGTTCAACCGAGACTCAGAGATTATAACATTACACAGTTCATTTACATCTGGATCACATGGTATGGGGCATCGGAAAGTGCATTCGTTCTTGCATAATTGAACACTTTCAGTGTTGGCTGAGGTGAGGAAGTCTTTGGTGTGGTAGAGCTCAGGCAGTGCATACATTACACTGGGACCACTGGGGTTACTGATGTTCTTTGATGGCCTAATGGTGTGTGCATTACAAATCTGTGCAGTGTCATCCAGCTCATCCTGTAAAATGTTACAATAAAAATAAAATTAGGAAAAAAACGTCGAAATGGAGAACTCAAAACTGTAAATTGTGTCCTCATTTACTAAGTGTATCACTGTTTCAAACATCCAGACATCTGTGGAAACCATAGGATGATGGATACTGCTTTGAATGTCTCCTTTTTGTGTCCCACCAAAAACAGTCATGTATTGTATTGTTTGGAACAATGGAGTAATGACAAAATTTCCAATTTAGGTGACTTCCCTCTCTCCTCTTCCCCCCTCCTTCTCTTTCCCCCTCCCCAGCCCCCACTTTCTCTCCCTCTCACACACACACACCGAAGCATCAAAACATAATTTCAGATAAACTCACTTGTATGAGTCCCATACAGCAGAACTGGAGCAAACTTTTGACCAAGAATCCTCCATCGAAGAATCCATTGTCTCTTGAGGTCAGCGAACAGGGAAATCCAGAATTACATACACTCTGCGCTGAAACCCCCACCAGTACTCGATCCTTTGGTTGGCAGTACTTGCACCTTCCAAATAGCTGTCAAGGGTTTCATCTTCGTGACTGATGTGAAGAAAACGTTGAAAGTCTCTTACATGACCATTTTCAGTTCCAAGATCCCCCCTAACAACTTTAGGGCATCCTCCCAAATAATCCACTGCTTCAATTAACCACCGATTTGCTTTGGATCGCTACTAGTTGAAGTGAAGTGAAGTGACGTGACATGTGGCCAAGTATGGTGACCCATACATGCTCTGCAATTAACCCATCCAAAGTGCACACACACAGCAGTGAACACACACCCGGAGCAGTGCGGCACGTGGGGAGCAGTTGGGGGTTCAGTGCCTTGCTCAAGGGCACCTCAGTCGTGGTATTGAAGGTGGAAGGGAGCGCTGTACATTCACTCCCCCCCACCCACAATCCCTGCCGGTACAAGACTCGAACCCGACTCTCTAACCATTAGGTAACTGAATTAGGCCACGACTTCCCCTGTGTAGGCATTAAGCCAAATAAGCCATCAATGCAGCCAATAATACAAATGCCATATGGTTTTAACTTATTGTATGAGTCCAAATGCCAAATAGAGTTGGGTCACTTAGCAAAGTAATTGCGCCGTCTGGCTCTCCTCACTGAAACTCCTGCAGGATCCAATTCCTTCAGCACCGTGCGCACATCCTCTTTTCTCACACGCAGACCTTTCTCTCTGCATTTCGCGTACATCCATCGGTACCCATGAAGTTGCCCAGAGTACAGCAGCTGATGACCAATGAAATCAACAAGGTCCACTAAGGCCGAGTAACTTTTCCGTCGAAACAGTCCTTTTTCGCGTAATATCATTTTCAGGTGTCTTTCATTGACGTCAAAACCGTGCCTTGAACAAAGCACTGACCTTATTTCTTTATACTTCAGTCCAAGTTCAAAATAAAACTCTATGAACTGCTCCATTATGAATGTACGGAGCTGTCTGAACCACTGGAAGCGTAAAGTAAACAGGAAGTGTTTGTCTGAACGCAACTGGTTATGCCAGAGAACGCAAAAGTTTTCAGAGGGAACGCTAAAGCTTTGGGAGAGAACGCAAAAAAATTTTGCTTTTTTTTTTCCTCTCACCCAGAATTTATTTTTCCACCACCATGTCCCTTTAGCGGCTCCATACAAAAGCAACATGATATGATTCTAATATAAAATCTAAACGATTAACAGATGCAAGCGTATGCAGAGTTTCACGTGTTTGCAGCATTGAGCAATGCAGTGCTGAAATGTGCGTCCTCATGAATCCTCTCATTATAACACACGAATTGTAGACATTATGAAAGATTCATTATGCATATATTTATTGTGAGATTGCGATGAACTGAGATGTCTTTTAGAGATTATAAATGCAGTGCTCTTTGCTGGTATTCTGCCATGCCAAACCATGCACGCAGCAGCCGCTTGCTTTAGTTAAAAATAACAGTGTTCTGTGAATGTTGATGCTTTAATAACAAATATTTATCGGGAGCATGTATGCAGGGATTTCATAAATTGTATAGAGAAAAAAAGTAACGTAACTAATAATGTAACTAATTACTAATTACTTTTGAAATGAAGTAATCAGAACAGTAACGTGATTACTTTTAAAAGGAGTAATCAGTAATTTGATTACATTTTCAGAGTAACTTGCCCAACACTGGTCCTAATATTGTGTTGGAGTCCCCTACAACAGGTTTAAATGCATCTAAGGTCAGAAAACATTGTAATTTTCTCAGAATATACATTTAATATTAGAATCATTTTTCAATTATTTCGAAACGTTTCGTTCGAAGCAGTTATGAGCTTAAGGTCTGTAAACTCCTCCCTTTCATAAGCCTACTCTGCTCTGATTGGTCAGCTGTTGTGATTGGGCTTTCCGTATACATGCGTGTCGAAACGAAACTGCCATTACCATAATTAATTTTTTGCTCCAGAGGGTTACAAATATGCCTGGGGCGTAGCCATCATTTCAGAAGTGAGGGGGACAGAAATGTTTATATATATATATATATATATATATAGCCAGGGCAGGACTTACAGGGCCGGGGGCCCCTGGGCTTGAGGTTATGTTTGGGCCCCATACCTATACTACAAATGCCCTCAATTAGAATGTAAAAATGTATTGTCATATCTGTGGCCTTTTATGTCAGATTCTTAAATTTAATAAATTCAATCTGAATAAAAAAACATGTTGGATATTAACAATCAAATGAAATCACTATAAACAAAATGCATAGATGGATTTTGCAGAAGTTATGTTAAGTTTAAATACAACATTTTAATCTAGAAATATTAAATGATTGCAAAAATTAAATAATGAGCTACTTTTTAAAATATGAAACTACGACTGACAGTAGGTGGCAGCAAGTGTCTTAAATGAGCGAGTTTAATCCTTAAATCAACCTATTTGTTTAAAATGCTAAATCATTTAACTTAGCTATAAACAAAATCCATAGATGGATTTTGCATAAGTTATGTTAAGTTTAAATACAACATTTTAATGTAGAAATATTAAATGATTGCAAAAATTAAATAATGAGCTACTTTTTAAAATATGAAACTACGACTGACAGTAGGTGGCAGCAAGTGTCTTAAATGAGCGAGTTTAATCCTTAAATCAACCTATTTGTTTAAAATGCTAAATCATTTAACTTAGCAAACGACTGTACTAATAGCCTGTTTGAATCATTTACTGGTTCTTGT